TCCTTCTTAGTTGGTTTGTTTTACGTTTTTTTTTTTTTTTTTTTGTTTTTAATTGTAAGCTTGATGTGGTTTCCATTTCTAGTCTAATACTTTGTCTGTAATATGGGTTTGTAGTATTTTTTTTTTACGTTTTCTTGTGTAGTATGTTTTTTTCTTTTATATATATATATATATATATTTCTAGGGAATTTGAATATACTTTAGTATTTATTTATTGTTGTTGTTTGTTTTGCTTCATGAGTAATAACGTCAGTAATGTAACCTTGACGATTACCGATAGACTTCAATGGAAGCGTGCAACCGGCAAGGATAGGGGTTTTCGGTTCATTGTCCAACGGGCTCCCACAATGAGGGCGCGATGTCGAAAGTGCTCGGAATATATAGTAAAAGGAGAACTCAAATGGGGGATACCCATTCGTCACGCTCAAGGAGAATATGGATGGATATCGGCGTGGCAGCATCTAGGGTGTACGCGGATTGCTTTAGATGATGCAGTTGGGGATTTGATTTATGGGTTTGAAAGCCTTTCTACAGAAGAGAAGAATGAAGTACTGAGGGAAGTTACTTCTTCTCTTATACCACCCCATTTGCTTCCCTTGGATCCTGATGATTTGGTAAAGCGGGGGGCTCTTTCTGAAATGGAGCCGTCTTCTGAACTATTGCGTCCTCTTCTTCGTTACCAAAAGGAGGGATTGGGCTGGATGATAGCTCAAGAGCAATCAGACATTAAAGGAGGTATTCTGGCTGATGAAATGGGAATGGGAAAAACGATACAAATGATCAGTCTCCTACTTGCAAATCGTGTGGTGGGCCCGACCATAATCATCTGTCCTGTTAGCTCTATGCTTCAGTGGAAAGCTGAAATAAACGAACATGTTGTTCCAGGGGCATTGTCTATTTCAGTGGTGGATCGTGCCATTCATCTTAAAAAAGAAGACATGGAAAATGCGGATGTAGTATTAACTACCTATCCTATGGTGGAGCAGTCATGGAGAGCAGTGATTAATAAGACTAAAGTACATTGTCCCTATTGTGAACAGCTTTTTCTTCCGCGCCAACTTGTTGTCCACAATCGGTACTTTTGTGGTCCCAAGGCTAAGAAAACAGCTAGGCAGCGAAAGCGAGAAAAAGGACATGATGATGTACACGTATTACCCAATCGTGGGGTTCAGTCTAAAGAAACAATTAAAAAAGGTCTTAGAACTTTGCGTGTTGATGTCGACGATAACAATGACGAAGACAGTTTTGTGGGCGAAACTGAAATCATAAAAGAAAGAGGCGTTGTTGGACCAATGGGCATGTATCGCGAACTTATGTTCGAGGCTGGACGTAGGATTAGAAGTGGATGGGAACCTGCCAGAAATATGAGTGAAAGTAGCGATAGTATGAGTAGCTGGGTGACAAGCAGTACAGAATCAGAGGATGATAATGAAGAAGAAGATACTAATAGAGATGAAGAAACATTTTCTGCCTTTCAATGTCCTAATTGTAAATTTCAGCTGTTACGTTATCCTTTTTGTCCCAAAACAGGTCAACATCACTTCTTGTCCGAACAAATGAGAAATATTATTGAAACAGATAATGGTGGTGATGATATTGATATTTCTGCATCTATATTTCATTCAATAAAATGGACTCGCATTGTGTTGGACGAAGCACATCGCATCAAAGGACGTAATACAAGTACTTCACGAGCGACGTTTGCTTTACAGGGTGAATATCGATGGTGTCTCACAGGAACACCTTTACAAAATCGTGTGGGCGATGTCTATAGTCTTATTCGCTTTCTTCGCATGACCCCGTTTGCAAGGTATTATTGTGGAACTGAAGGGTGCTCCTGTTCATCATTTTCCCATCCATTTTCAGGAAACAACTTGCGTCAGTGTATCTTCTGTGGTCATGGACCAGTGCAGCACTATGCATATTTTAATCGTCACATAATGAATCCTATACTACGATACGGTTATGTGGGAGATGGTCGCCAGGGTATGATGAAGTTAGCCAATGAAGTGCTTCAGAAATGTATGCTGCGTCGCACAAAAATTGAAAGGGCAAGTGATCTACATCTTCCTCCGCTTAGTATTAAAATTGTTAAAGTAAAACTTACCAAAGAGGAACGAAATTTTTATGACTCATTGTATAAAAAAAGTACAGCTACATTTGATACTTTTGTAGATAAAGGTACAGTTTTGCATAACTACGCCCATATCTTTCAACTTTTAAGTCGCTTGCGCCGGTCTCTTGATCATCCTTTACTTGTTGTGGAGTCTATGAACGTGGGCAAGGATGTCCATCCAAAGGGGGTTTGTGGTATCTGTACGGAAGGTGGTGGCGAAAACTCCATCCATCTAAACCCTTGTAAACATATATTCCATCGTATTTGTCTTACCCAGTTTATTGAAGGTTCACCTGGAAATGAATATCATTGCCCAACGTGCTTTGTGATAATTAACATTGACTTGCGTCAGCTGCGCGCTGACTGGGACGAAGAAGAACCAGCGCCAATGATGCCTCCTGAACTTGACGATGAACTTTCTGAAGCTGATCATGAGGAAAATCCAGTTCATGATGGCATCACCACTAAGAAAACCTCATCCTCCGAAAAAGCCATTCCAGTAACAAAGAAGCAAAAAAAAGGTGTTTTGTCACGCATTGACCTTTCCAAACCCATCCAAGGAAGCAAACTTGATGCTATTACGGAATACATTCAGTCTGTGCCGAAGGATGAGAAGATAATTATCTTCTCACAGTTTGGAGATATGCTGGAGCTTCTTCAGATATGGTTACAAAGGGCCTCTGTGAAGGCTGTGAAACTTACTGGTGCGCTCATGCTTTCCCAGCGTCAAGCCGTGTTACAAGCATTTTTGCACGACACAGGCGTGCGCGCGATTCTTATATCTCTAAAGGCAGGTGGAGAAGGTTTAAATTTGCAAGTGGCCAACCACGTTATTCTTGTAGATCCTTGGTGGAATCCGGCGGTTGAGATGCAGGCGGCACAACGCGCGCATCGTATTGGGCAAACAAGGCCTGTTCACGTGATTCGATTTGTTGTGGAGCAGTCTGTTGAAGAGCGCATGATGGATCTACAGGACAAGAAAATGCTTGTGATCGAAGGTACCATCGATGGCAAATTAAGTTCGCTTCAAAGTCTTAGTGAAGACGACCTTCAGTTTCTTTTCACCCGCTAATAAAGTTTTTGACAATAAAACTCTTGCTTGTTTTGTTTCGCTCTTGCTGTTGTTGCAGCGGCTGTTGCTTCACGTTGTGATGCGGAAGGGTTGTGCGAGGCATCATGGCTTTGCTTTGACAGTCTTTTCTTTTTGCTGTGGAACTATCTCCGACGTTGTTGTGTGGGATTTCCATTTTTGGGTTGTGGTTTGATTTGTTGTTGTCGTTTTTGCTAGGCAAGCCTGGCGGTGTTGTAGCAAATTTATTTTGTTTTCCTTACATTTTTATTTTGTATTTTCTGCTTGTGTGCATGGCTGGGTGAGAAACTTTGTGTGACTCGTTGCCGTGTAGGAGAAAACAATTCAAGGTCTTCGAAACGAATTGCCAAAGGACAGACAACACCCAAGGAAAGGACAATCGAGCAGAAAGGCAACGAAACCAAGCGTACATCACCCAAAACAAGGAAGGCTGAAGAGATGGGAATACCTCTACCAAAGCCTGTTATGACACAGCTGCGGGAGCGGCACGGCAACGAAATATTCCGCTGTGGCTCTAGCTGCGTCAACGGATTCCGCGAGAGTATGGAAGACGCACACATCATCTACCTTCAGCCTGGATGGGGTTTTTTTGGTGTGTTCGACGGCCACGTCAACGATCAGTGCTCGCAGTACCTGGAAGGTGCGTGGAAAGAAGCTATTGAAAAAGAAATAATGCCAATGACGGATGATCGCATGAAGGAAATTGCTCTTGAAATTGACAAGCAATGGATGGATTTAGGCCGAGAAGGCGGCAGTACCGGTACTTTTTTCTCCGCCATGAAAAAAGATGCCACTGTTCACTTGCAAATTGGTAATGTTGGTGATTCGCGCGTTCTGGTTTGCGTCAATGGCCAAGCTAGAGCAATGACTGAAGATCACAAGCCCAATAACGATGATGAAAGACGTCGAATTGAGGACTGTGGCGGCCGTGTGGAGGGCAATCGTGTTGATGGAAGCCTAGCTGTGAGCCGGGCCTTTGGAGACCGTGATTATAAAACCAATACCAATGGTAGCCAACTAAATCAAAAAGTGATTGCGCTTCCTGATGTAACCCATGTGGACGTGACCTGGGGCAGCAAAGATTTCGCCGTGTTGTGCTGCGATGGCGTTTTTGAGGGACAATTCAGCAATGAAGAGGTTGTGGGTTTCATTAAGGAGCAGCTTGAGACAACAGCTGATCTTGCCGTCATTGCAGGTAGAGTCTGTGAGGAGGCTGTGAATCGTGGTAGTCGCGATAACGTCTCCTGTGTTATTGTACAGTTCCAGAGTGGTATGGACTACAAGGAAATGAACCACATTGATGTGCTCCCAGGCCCGTTTAGCCTACCCAAGAACGCTGTTTTCCGCAAAGTATACGGCCTTATGGCACAGAAGGCGGGGTGCACGATTCATGAGGTTCTAGAAAAGCGTTACGATCAACTTGTTTCCATGGACAAGGAACTCCTGCAGGAAGAGTGGCAGTGGTTTAAGGGAGGGCCGCCAGCCAACTTGAAGGGTAAGGATCGCACCAAGTGGTTTGCCGACCTGCTGGAGCAGTATGCGGCAGAGAATTCCTCAGACGGCCGATCCGAGCAACTGGAGCGCATTCAGCTGCTACAACAGCAGATAGGCGTTCCACTGCCTGTCCTTCTTTCTCTCATGGCTGGACAGACGCAAGAATAATTTCCCGTGCGTGAGTGGGTGCGATTCCACCTCTTGAAGGACTGCCGGGCGAGGGGTGGTTTCCTTCCCTCTCCCCCAAAGGCAGCGCCGGCACAGCAGCCACAGCTCGATCAACCCATCCATATCCTTTTTTATTCTTTTCATAGCTATCCATGTTGTGATAGGGGCAGGGATGCACCGAAACTGAAAATAAATTTAAAAAGAAAAAGCAAACAAAAAATAATGAGAAGTGGTGGAGAGACATAGAGGAAACAGAGGACACGCAGGTCCGTTTTACTGTGCCACTCTCTTGTTTGACTTCCACCTTCCTCACCCCCACCCCACCCCAAAACGAAACAAAACAAAAAACATGCAGAAATGAGAAGCATAAAAAGAAAGTGGGAAAATCCCCTCCCTCCCTCCCACCCACCCACCTCCACCCACTCCCTCCTCGCAAAAAAAAAAACGGAACAAAGTAATAAATACAC